TACAGTACAATACCCATAATTTTCTTGGTGATCTCCCAGAAAAACCTTCTTAATTTAATCTCTAATGGGATTATCAGCCTCATTAAATTGTAAATCTTCCTCAGTCCAGCTGTTGTGGGAACCTGAACTTTCATAACGTTATCAATTTGCTGCTCTGCTCTCTCTACCTGAAGTCCCCTTCGAAGCTGTTAACACTTTCCTACCTCCCTGATGAAATCCCTGCCTTTTTTCAAACTAACCCTACTGATCTGCTCCCTTCCACTGCAGACCTCGCCCAGTGCCTCTGGACTAATTTCTGTGGAGGCAGCCAAGTATATTTTGCAGAAGGCCCTGCAAGAATGAACTGTGAAGAGCAAACCCACCTCTCCTGAGCCAAGAGCCTGGCTGCCCACTGCAAACTCCCTGCCCCTGGGGAGGCACAAGAGCTCAGCCTCTGGTCCTCTGGGGTGGGCAACACAAGGCCAGGCAGGTTTTCCAGCTGAGTGCCATCACAGCACTGTGGAAACACAGATGGAAAGGAGCTCTGGCCCTCACCTTTCTGGCAAGTTCCACCCCCAGTCACTGCTGTGCCCAGTGGGGGCACACCTTCAGAGCCATCCCAAAGTCAGATTCCTGCTGAAGGCTGAGACAAAGTCCTCTCTGCAAAGGACACAGAACCAGGACAAACCCAGTGCAGTGGCTTTTCTAAGTTACCATTTCACAGGGCTCATGGACAGAAGGTTGCTGAATCCTGGAGGGCACTGACAGGTGACAAGATTGCAAAAAAAGGGAACTCCACCTTAGGAAGCCATTACTGTTTGTTGCAAGCAAGGCTCTCAGGAGTACAGGTAATGAAGGATTGGTACTGGAGAGACAGGAAAGTAGCAATCTTAAAATACTTTTAGAATTCTTTTTGTGCCTAAGCAAGGCAAAAGCAGTAACCATGTGTGTGCCTGCTTTCTCACACACCTACAAAACCTCTTTGGAGAAATCAACAAAAAAAATTGGAGTACAGCACAGTTATATTCTGAAGGAGCTGGGACTTTTTTCCTTGTACACAGTAGTCTAACAAAACAAACCACTGTTGCTTGTATCCAACATCCTCCTTACTACACTAACATGTAAAATGCAAGTGTCCTTCTGAACCCAGCTTCTTGTTCCCTTCCTATGTAACTAAAAAACAAAGTGGTCTGTGCCTGTAGCAATCTTTAAAAAGTCATTTAAGGCCTTTGGCTTTTTTTGTGATTATTTTCAGCAGCTTAAGTCAACTGGGAACAAGATTTGTGGTTCTCCTGTTTTAAGATCACATATCAAGTTCTCATAGCAGCAGTCTGCCCTCCCAAAAGGGCTTGCCTTGATATAAAGGAGAAACTAAACATTCCATATCCATAATTAGATAAATAATACTTCAGGCAAGATATGGCACCTTTAAAAGTGCCTTTTCAGGCTTGGATTTTACTCTGCTTGTTACTACAGAAACCATCTAGCAACCAGAATCTAACACAGACTCCACCCAAAACAGAGGAAAACAATATAGACAGAGGAGGTTTTTCCACCCCCTTTTTTTTCTCCCTTTGACCTCCCCCCCTCACTTTTTCTTTTTTTTTTGAAAGGGTGGGTGAATGCTAAGGAAAAGTATCTTACTGTGCAAAGGACAGGAGCATTTTGCATGCAGCTGAAACAGTAAAGCTCTGATTACAGATGGCAGCAATGAAAGCAGCAATGAGTAATGAGCAATGAGAAATGCGTAATGCGGGATGAGGATATAATTTCCACACATCGGCTAAAGAAAGGTTTACACTCTTAAGCAATAAAAACAAACCATTAAGCCAGACCTGCACTGTCAGGAAGTATAAAACAGTTCTTGAAACTCTGCAGTTACTATACAAAAGCTTTTGTTTCATAAACTTTTGTTTCCTGATCTTCATAAAACATTAACATCAAGCTGCCATATGGCAATTAGCTGCCTCCTGAAATCAATAAACCCCCTCCCCAAAATCAACAACTGAGGAATAACCATTCAATGAAATAGCTCAATAATTATCCTCTTCTAACAGTGCAGCAAAGTGGGTCTGATACAAACACAGTGTGGATGAGCTCCTCCTCCACAGCTGAGGTACAACAAATCATGTTCCTCTCTGAGCCTCGGGGGTGGGCTGTGAGCCTCACCTGCCTGGAGGGGGAGCAGGGATGTGGCCCCCCAAACCTGGCTGGGCAGGGCAGGGGTCCCCCCCTGGCTGTGCTGAGCCCAGGGGAGCCCAGCAGAGCAGCCCCTGCTCGCTGGCAATGGCCAATGCTCTCGGGAGAGCTTACCTCAACTGAAGATCCTCCTCTACATGCTGCTGACCTCAGAAGTCCAACTGAATTTTGCGCAAAAATTATCAAGCCACTCGACAAAGCTGCTACTGAGGCTCAAAAGGACAAGGAGACATGCTGATCACATTTGTGTTTAGAGAGATGCTTATCTGAAATGCACAAAGGGTGACATTATCTATCACAATCTCTGCCTATATAGATCATATAAGTGCCTAGAAGCAAAATGTTTAAGAGCTATAGGGTAACAAAGGCAGCTTTGCCTTCAAAATATTTTGCTTTTTCTCCTCTTAAGAGGAAAAAAGTTCTTTTCTCCTTGTAGAGCACTATAATACTAATAAATACTAAAGAACTGAAGTACTAGTGGGCTGTGCTAACAGCATACCTTTAGTATTTAGCATTATTTAGCAGTCATTACCAGACTTTCAAAAGATGCCAGAAAGCCCAAACCTTTCAGAAAGGCTGTCTGATCATCAGTTCTATCTAAAAGACTTCAGGAACCCAACTGATCCCTAGGAAAACTTCCTATCACTCATCTGTGAAAGATTGTTGTGTTTCTTTTACTTTAAGTCCTAAACAAAGTCTTTAGTGCAGCACTCTCACGTCTCCAACCTAGAGAGCGAGGTGAAGGTCAAGGCTTTAAAGGTACATTACAAAACCAGTTCTGCAGAAATTTATTGTCGTGCTGAGCTTGACACCTGCATATTTCCTCCTCAAAATCAGTATGGAACTGAGGATTCTGTGGCTAACACTAAGCAGCTACAGAAATGCTTACAAGAGCAGGTCTTTATAGGTTTGCAATGATACCTTGGCCTCCTGGTGTATTTGACTAAGGATGCAGTTCCTTGTCAAGCACCAGGAGGTTTGCCTGTGCAAGGAATGCGGCACCGTGCCACGAGCCAGCTCCTGCTCATGCATAGACAAGTGCTGGAGCCAATTTTTTGGCAACAAAACGAGCATCAATGAGTTCTCATGCCTCACAGGAGAAGTAAAGCAGTCACCACTCTGTAAAGAGCCTCCCTCAGTCTTGTCACACATGAAGGAGCTGTGAGACTTCAGCTTTACAGCACCAGAGCTGAGGGTCTGCCTAGAAGTGCTGTGGGTTCTTTACAATTCCACAGGGTTGGGATCACACCTTTCATGCTCATCATTAAATTTTCAGCACTTGTCAGCTTCCTCAAGCTTAGGTTTTACAGTACAGTAACACAGCTCTGACTTGACCGCACAACCACACATCACAAACAGCAAATCCTTGCTGAACCTCCACTGCAGCCCTGACAACCCTGCCAAAGCAACAGCCACCAACTCATCCAGCACCAGGAGAGCTGGCAAGAAGCAAAAGGCAAACCAAACTCCTGCACATATGATGCTTCATCCCTAAAAACATCAGCCACCAAAACAGCACCGGTGTTTTGAATAAGCACCTGGAGATGTCCAGCTGCTATGCAGTATCAGCACGACCAACATCAGCTACCTCTCAAAATTAAGCACAGCCCAGCTACAGAGTGGTGGATTGTTCTCTGACAGCTGCTAAAAACACTGCTGGTACAAAGAAATACATCAGTTTTATCTCACCACAGAGCCTTACAGCCCAAGAAACTGTTAAGTTCACAAGAAAAAAAACTGAAGCAGCCAACAGGTAATTAATTTTTCTTCCCCTGTCCTCTGTAACCTCTGCTTTTTGTGATGAACAAAAGGATTGTTCTACAAGAGGACCTGTAAGACACCATCAAGTTAGCCTTTCTGATCAACCCATCTAGTTAGTACCATTGCTGCAACCCAGATGATCCTGGTAAAAAAAGGAGGAGTCTGGGGAGGACCAGGACAAAAAAAAAAAGAGGGGTTCATTAACAAAACATCAGGAGGCCCAAATCAGAGATTGCCACAGCTGACTTAGAGAGGTCCCTACAGGGCCCACTGCACACATGGCTTCAGAAGTGTAGCCACAGTTCACCAAATGCAGAACTGGAGCCACCACAGAGCTCGAGGGATGACCAAGAAGCCCATTGAAGCTCCTTTCCTGCTCTCCTGCTCCAGCACAACTTTCACACAACACCCCCGGGCTGTGCCTGCCACACCAGCTGGGGAACACGCAACAGGCACAATCAGCATCAGCTTCAATGCTCGGCTTGCCTACTGCAAATCACACTTTGCTCCTTACATGAAGGATTTAAAAACCAGTAAGGTGATGCAAGCACAAGTTGTGATGACTGCACAAGTGAACCATTTTTTCTTACAGACTGGACTTCTCAGAAAGAAATATCAGAATTCTATGGTTTATTATCTGAAATAGATTTAAACATTTGGGGAAAAAAAAAAAAAAAAAGGTTTCCAACACAAAACCCTGGAAATGAAGAGAGGCTAATCTGCCAAACAGCAAAACCATCAGCTGAGGTTAGAGAGGAGGCTGCATATGACAACAGCTTGCTGCATGTAGGGCAAAAATTGCAGATTAATTTCACTGTAACACTCCACAGAAGTGAGCTCTCATCTGAGGTGAGGAAGTATGCAAGGCTTTTCCAACTGTTAAAGACAAGGGCTGGTACAAATTAGGTAGGTATTCCTCTTTAGCATAGATAATCACAAAAAAATAAGATGACATTTTAGTTTTTATTATTTCATATTTGGCCAGGACTTTTAAAGGAAGGACTTTTAAAGGAAACATCAAACATTCACTTTTCTGTAGGTCTAGAAGGGATTCAGTCTTCCCCCACCCCCACCTCCCATAGGATTTCTATTGGCCCTTATATTCACACTGCAAATTAGTTGGGAATAGCAGTATTTATACTAGATCAGCAACGTCTGGTTCTTATCCAAATGTTCCACCTAAAGAGGATGCCAGTTCTCATGGATTGGACAGCCCACCCTGCAGCATTCCTGAGAATTGTACAATATAATCTTGAAAGTCAGCAGAGTGGATTATCCACTTTTTTCTGGACTTGAACTTGTGACCTTAACAGTAGCACAGCAGAAAGCAAATGTGCTATGCACTTTGCCATAGTAACCTTCCATGTATTCTTTTCAACTTAAATACACACAATTGAAACAGCTACAATTTTGGAAAATTATGTACAAACCCTATATTTTTTTCTTTTTTGATTACATATAAATACAAATTAGCTATTCTTCTAAAAAGTGGTTATAATAGTAAATAAATACAAAATAAGAATCTGACCATTATACTTCATGTGCTGGGGTTAAACCCATATAAAATGTACAACTAAAATACATTTAAAATCTTTAAAGGAATATTTCTCTGATTAAAATATTTGTTTTCCCAACTTTTTCGTAGACATAAATATATTTTCAAAATAGTTGTGTTTTTTTTTCTTTCCATTTCATTACATAAATAAAGTCTTCATTGGGAAATATTAAAGTGTCAGCTATTTTTTTTTTTTTTTGCATTTGTCTAATATATTTGCTGTGTTAGCGGCACCCACAACCCTCCACAACCATATCTTGATAGTTCTTTAATACAACTTTTTCATTTTCATCAAGGTAGAGCATGGAAATAGCACTCAGTTCTGTCGGCACACAGCAAGCCTTGGGGATTTTGGAATTCACTGAATTGACCAAAGTCTGAACAATGGCATGGTTTGTTGAGTTTAGATGATCTGCCAGTGGAAAAGGACATTCCCCATGGCAGTAAAAGGCACTATACCCCGGCGGGGCAACAATCCAGTCATTCCACCCCACATCATTGAAGTCCACATACAACGGATGCCTTTTGCAACTGTATTTGTGGCGTTTACGCTGTTTGTGTTTCGCTTGACGCTTTTCTCTTTTATGGAGCGGGTGTCCCTTGCCATCATGCCCAAACGTCACTAACAATGGCCTGAGCTGAGACCAGCTATCTTCATCCTGATGTAAAGACCTGCTAATCCTAACGTGCCTCTTGGAGGCACTGTTCTCTTTGTCCAAGTGAACCACCTCTACCACAAACCCATGATTAGGTTGTCCATGTGCAATCCACCTCAAAACAGCTGGCGTTACATCAAAACTTTCCCATTTACTTGCATTATGATGCACCAACCTGGTGTCCAAAAGTCTTGTGACAGGGTCCTTAGAGGTGGCTGTGGCTGGCTTTATAATTTCATAAATATTAATACGGTGATGGTAGCTGCTGTTGTTCTCAAAGGCTCCGTGCACCTGTTTCCGAAAAATCTGGAGTTCGGCTGAGGTGATAGACTCCTCGTTAGGGATGGAAGTTAAATTAAAGAAGAAACGCCGTGCTGTTTTCCCGCTCGTTTCTGGAAGTTCTTCCAAAACTTCTAATTTGATTAAACAGGGAAAATAAAAAAAGAGAAAAGAGGGAAAAAATCAGAAACGGAGACAAACAATCAAACCCCTTAAGACTGTCTGCTGATGGCAGCTTTCAAATGACAGCTACCACATGTGACACACAAGACCTGAAAGACTTTCAGGCAGAAAATGCTGTGTCCCTTGCTTGTTTCTTTGTGCAAGCATGTATTGCATGAAGTTAAAAATGCTTCATTCATTGTTACACATTTGGATTGCATCCTGGTGGCTTTTGCCTTCCAGGTAGTTGTCATTAGAAGCAAGAACTATACAGCATTAATTTGGACTTTAAAGACATTAATGAAAAACTCAAGCACTGGGGAATTATTAAAACTGGTGAAAACTGGTGAAGGACTTGGGGTAACTGTTGCATTTCTGATTTTTTTCTAAGAATACAGTTCTAACATCAATCCCTTAAATTCCATGCTGAAAAACATTAGTCTGCAATTTAAGTGACCTAAAAATCTTAATGTATGGATTTTTGTGTGTTTAATCCCACACAAATCATGTATCAGCACCCATAACAGTACTTTATGAAGCACGCCCCAGTATTTACCCAAAAGGGCCATAAAGAGCAACAGGAAGATTCAACTGCTGAAATAAGGGTGGATGGAAAAGAGATAATGAAACAAAGTCACCTCCAAACAAGAAGTTTATAAAACCACCAAAACCAAATATTCAAGGAATCACTAAACTCCAGGCCATTCTCAGACAACAACAGAATGGAGCTCCAGAAGGAGTACAATATAGCTAGGGTTGCTAAATACATTGTTGCTGCAGACATTAACAAGTACTTCCCAAAATAAAACTCTCTCATGGTTTTTAACTTTGCTGCTAAACATACTGAAGGGGAAAAAAAAAAAATCACTTTCTAAGGGGGAACCATAACTGCTATTAACAACTCTTAGTGGTGTAACCATTCCCCTTTGAAAAAAATACAAATTTTTGCATAAGGTAAATCTCAGCCTTATGGTATTTCAGGACCAGACCAGTACTTGCTAATATGTAAATATTTTTGAATGGTCACAAGTGTTCTGCTCTCAAGAAATCACTAATGCAATGAGAACTCAGTGAAAAAAATGGGAGCCACACTGATTTTCTTCCAAATGTTTAAAAAATTATAACACCGATTTTCTAACAAAATCCAGTTTTGCTGTAATCGTATGACGACTTCAAACTGCAGATTTTTACATTTGCCTAAAACTTATCAACTTTGCTCTTTCAACTCCTCTCTCACTCAGCCCCTTGCCCACAATCCTTGGGTTTAACATGAACGACCCACGTGCTGCCTTTTCCCCACTATCTGCCAGATTTTTACTTCCCATGTAGGGAAAGGTGGATGAGGAGAGGTTAGATTTCACCATTCATCTTCCTCACGATAAAGCTTTCCACTAAACAGCGCATCCACTTCTCAGAGGCCGCCGCCTTTTAGAAACTTAAAAACTAATTAATATCTTTTCTTGACACAGTTTCACTCTAAAAGCAGGGGGGAAATGAATTTTCATTGCTTCAGCAGCGGGGCCACTGCACGGCAGCATCGGAGAACCGCAGCCTGGAGCAATTACAACCTGGGGAAACCTTCCCAAAAAAAGCACGTGAGCGACACGCGCCCCACCGGCTCCGCGGGCCCGGGGAATGCCACAGCCGCTGCTTCGGCCACGGAGCCGGGAAACGCCCCCGGCTCTGCCCCAGAGCCGCTGCCCCGGGGGGCTGCAGGCCTCGCAGGTGAGAGCCGAGCGCGGCCACGGGGCTTTGGTTTGCCCGGGCGGGCCGGGCTGCAGCGCACCTCGACGGCAGCCCCCGAGGATGTCGCGACTGATTGTTTCACTGATCTCTCACGGAGATTAGACGGGGATTAGAAACCTCCGCAGCGGCCCGGCTCAGCCGCGCGTTAGGGAGCTTTCCCTGCTTTCTAGCCTCGCAGGAGAGCGGCGATGTGTGGGAACGCTTAACACGGAGTCGCGCCGCTTTAGCGGGAAAAGCCAATAAACGGGGAGCGCCCCGGCGCACGGACAGTGGGGAGAAGGGAGTTGGCAGAGCAAGAGCTCCGCGGCAGCGCACCCGGCCGGGAGATGCACTGCGCGAACCCCGCGGTACCGGCGGGAGGAATCCGCCCCCCGCTCCTCCTCCGGCCCTGCCCTGCCCTCCCCTCCGCTCCCGCAGCCCGCGGAGCCCCCGCCCGCCCGTACCTTCGTGGTGGAAGCTGCGGACGGTGTTGGCGCGGCTGGCCGCCCGCTCCAGCGGGAAGCCCAGCGCCGCCGGCTGCCCCAGCTGCTGCCCCGCGTGCAGGCGGTAGAGGTCCAGCATGTAGGGCGGGATGACGACGTCCTTGCCGGGGCTGGGCCGCCGCTTCAGCCCGAACATGTGGAGCAGGCGCAGCTCGAACTCGCTGAGCAGGTCCTCGGGGCGCTGCGCGGCCGAGGCGGCGCGGCCCGGCTCGCTGAAGCGCCGCCGACCCACCTCCGGCATGAGCCCGGCCGCGCCGCCCAGCAGCGCCTGGCAGAGCAGCAGCGCCAGGAGCGAGCGGGTCACGGCAACCATGATCAACCTGCGCGGAGGAGGAGGAGGAGGCGATGGGAGCCAGTCAGCGCGGACACCGCGCCGAGGGAGGGGGGGTGCGGGCGGGGACGGTCCGCAGGTGGGACCCACCCCGGCGCCGGGCCATGGCCGGCGGAGCCCCCGCCGCGGACCGGCCGGCGGAGCCCCCCGAGGGGCCGCTTCAGGTGCGCAGCGGCACCGAAATCCCCGTGGCAGGAGATCAAAGGGAGCGAGGCGGGACGGGGGAGCGGAGCGGGGCGCTCCGCAACAAAGGAGCGCGGAGGTGAAGGGGAGGAGGGGACACGGCCGGGGGCACCGCCGGGGCCGGGGCGCAGGTGTGCGCCGGGCCGGGCCGGGCCTCCCGCCGCCGCGGCCGGCACCGCTCACCGGGAAGGGAAGGGGAGGCTGCCCAGCAAAGCCAGCTCCCCTCTGCGCTCCCGTCCCGACCCCCGGGCTTCCTCCCACACACCCCGCTGAGCCGAGCCGCGGGAGCTCGGGGCCGACTCCGCTTCTCCCGCAGCGGGGCAGCGGCTTCCCTCAGCGGAGGGAAAAGGAGAGCTGTTTTCCCTTAGCGGAGTGGAAGAAGGGGAAGGAGGAAAGTACATATCCTGCTACGTCCTTAGCCAAACCCACAGGATGACATTCTCCCCCGTGAAACTTTGGGCTGGATTATTATAACAGTAATAATAGTTATGATTAGTGTCCCGTCCCCCCTCTCTCTTCCAGAGCGCTAGCACCTCCGCCGTGGCCCACGGAGTCATCCTGCGGAGAAGGCTTTCAGCGGATCTGCGACCGCCGGAGCTATACCTGTGTGCAGCAGCAGGGGTTGTGTCTGCAGGAGGGTGTTCTGCTCTCGGGGTGTTTTTCCCGCATCACTTGGTGTTACTCCAAACTTCGCTGCTGCTCCTCTACAGCTGCCGAGCAGAAAATAGAAGTTCCCTGAAGTGCAGTCCGCCTCGGAAACATACTTTTTAGCAGCTGGTTGAGGAGGCAGAAGGCAAGTCCCAGCCAGGGAAAAAGCTTCTCCCTTTTAAAAGCAGCGATCGTGAAGTTGCTTCTTCTTCTTCCTCCTCCTCCTCCTCGCGTGTGTGTGCCTGCCCGTGAATGGGTCCCTACGTGTCTACGGAGTTAAAAGGCTCCTTTTCAAAAATGTCCTTTGCATCACGCTCATCAGACAGATAGACATTTACCGAGACTCCCGCAGCAACATCAAGATGAAGCTTGACTTGTCTCCGCTCCCTTAAAAAAGAAAGGAAAAAGGAGGGAGGAGGGTAAATAAAAGAAAAAAAAAAAAAAAAAAAAAAAAAAAACGAAAAAAAAAAAAAGGGGTGGGGAGCCGCCTGCCGCCGTCCCGCGTGGAGCGGCCGCGCTAGGGCACCGCGCCGGGCTCCCCGCCGGCCCCGCACCGCACCATGGCCGGGGGTGGCCGCCCGCCGCCGCCGCCGGGGCTTTTTGTTGCGCGGCGATGTCACGACCCCGGAGGCTCGGGGGCCCGCGCCAATCACAGCCGCCCTGTGGGAGCGGGCTGCGGCCCCGCACGGCTTTTAAAGGAGACGCCGCCTCCCTCCCTCGCTCCTTCCCTCCCTCCTCCCTCGCCCGCTCCCTCCCTCGCCGCGGCTGCCGCCCGCGCCCGGGTCGCAGTGCCGCCGGGGCGAGGGATGGGGCGGGCGGCTGTCCCGTTAAACTGTGGTACCGGCGGCCGATCCGACGCGGGAATACCCCCGGCCCGGTCCCGCCTCCCGCTCCGGGCGGCCGTGGCGGAGCGGGACCGGGCCGGGTCGAACAATGACCCATTGTACAGCCCGAGCGCTCCGCCGCCGCAAATCGGATTAACGCCGTGTCCCGGACTGCCGGGGTGGTAAGGTGCGAAGGTCACGTAAGGTACCGGGAGAATCCCGGTGCTTTAGAACTACTTTAAAAATACATATATGTACTTATTTATTTTTCTCCCCCCACCAGAGCGTGGAGCTCTCTGCCCGAGCCAGGGGCGAGGGCTGGAAATCTGGGGGATTCCTCGCTCTCCTCTCCGAAAGAGAAGCGCCCGCACTCGGGAGAAGTCTCCTCCCGCAGCGCTGCCGCGGCGCATCCGATGCGGGCTCAGCCCCGTGCGGGCGGCGGAGGGGTTGGGCTGGGTGGTTTTTTTTAAGATGTGGCTGCCCTCCAGTGGTGGAACGGCGGCGGATCGCCCGGCCCGGAGCGGCAGCCCCGGCGCGAACCGCCCGCCCGCGGCCCCGCACCTGCCCCGGGGCTGAGCCGCGCTCCCCGCGGGGCCGGGCCCGCCCGTGCCCACTGCGCTGCTCCCCGGCTGCAGCCTCGACAGCTGTGGCATCGCCCATGGAGCGGGTGGAGAAGGCGGGTCCGTGCCCAATCCCAACTGCATCCCTCCATCCCTTTCCTGACGCTGGCAAATCTGATACAACGAGCAACTCGCGAGCAGGGCTATGTCCTTTGCCCCATCTCTTGTTTGTCTGCCTGGGCTCTGCGGTAGGGCCGGGCCCTTGCATAGGTATGCGATACCTAGCAATTTAGGGTCCTCATCAAAGCCAAAGCCATCAGCACACCATCATTAGCCGGGGTCCTGCTGCCTTCCCGGCAAGGCAAGTGCTCTGTGCTCCACCTCCTCTTCCCAATATCTCTCAGGGGCTTCATTTGCAAAAGGCACGGCCAGGCTGTGACACCTTGAATTACTGCGGAGGAGGACTGAAAGCAATAACAACTGAGACAGCTCCATTACCAGCTCCTCCTTTGGGAGCGGCCTTTTCCCTCCATCTTACTACTTCTTAGTGTAGGAAGAACACCGATTTGAGACAGGAATTCAGCACATTTGGGCTGGAATAATTCTTCCTGTGGACCTTCCTCTCTTGCCTTCCCTATCATGACTCCGGCAATTCCCATGAACATCCCTCCAGGATGAGGAGCTCACCCAGGGAGGTACACAGCAGCAAAACAAACCACCCCAGACCTGCACCAGAGTAATTAAAGAGCTGCTAAAGCTCCTTCATGGCAGCAGCTCCCAACACTCGCTAACCTGATTTTCACTCGCACCGCGCACACAGTGGGAGAGGGGACACCGAGCAAGGTGAAATCCCTCAAAAGTTGAGTTCTTTTTCCCTTGCATTCCAGTGCAGATAATGTTTAATTTTATGACTTCCTGCAAGTCTTTAGCATGAACTGAAAGTTCGTGCAGTGTGACTTCAGGGTATGCCAATTATGTAAATCAGCACTAAAATAACAATGGCAATGTAGTTTACACATCACTGACATTAAATGAGCACTTCAACTTCTAATTGCCATTCCAGTTCAATCTTAGTGGGTCATGCCAGGAAAAAGTCATTTCTTGCCTCAACACTTACTGCTTGTGCCTGGAGCACAGGCTCTAGTGTATGCCCAGCACAGCGTTATCTCCAGGAGCTCTCTGTATTAAGATAATGAGCCTTAGAAGGGAGAAACATGTTTGTGGTTGCTCTGAAGGCCTGCATACGCTCTGATCTGATAAAAACAGGGTCTTGTAGGTTTGCCCCTCTCTGATTTTAAGTACAAATAAGCTCTCAGATGCTTCTCTTGGCCATAAAACACCTTGCCTTTAAACTTGGTCAGGTCTCAATCTATTTTGATCTGGAGCTGCTGGGGCACAATTCTGCCTTCCCATCCATTTTCTTGAGGGCCCAGAAAACAACACTGAAACACCTATAACACATTCCCTGAGTGCACTGGCACCCACCCACACCAGAACCTCAGCCATGGCCCCCCACCTTCCCCACAGAAAGATTTCTCACCAAGGCAGATCCAGCCCCCCTGAGGCAGTATCCTGGAATATGGAGGAAAAGGTTAAAAAGCGTTATCCCTGAAGGTTTGGTTGTGGTCTGCGTCTCAGCACAAAAACTGACTAAATTCTGCCTTGTGTTCAGGCCTGCTCCACCCCAGCCCCAGCACACCTGGGCTCAGCAGCTGAGAAGCATCTTCATGATTACAGAGAGAATTGGAGACAGGTGGATTTAGGTATAATGAACTGGAGGCAAACACGCCTGGATGTGCCCACCCAGACTCCCAGCTCCACAAACCAGCCCTTGTCCTCTTCCCACTCCTAGAGCCGTGCAGCAGCACACTTGAGATAAAGAAACTAAAGCTAAACCCCTGCATTTCCTGCAGCTGAAATTCCTCACAAGCTCTGTGAAAATGAGGAGTTGAGTTGGACATCAGCTAAATATCCAGCCCCATCCAGGTGGGCTCCTACAGTGTCACTGCATTTTACAGTTATTTCAAGAGCAATCCTGTTCTTCAGCCCAAGCCCTGCCAGAGAGAGAAACCAACATTTACACTGAAAAGATCTGTGTTAGTAAAGCTGACTGTGCATATTTGTTAATCTCCTTTGTGAAATTTCACTTCTCCCCCACAAACTCCACGAATTCATTTCTTCCTTCTTTACCACATGCACTCCTTTTAGTCTTTTTTTTTTTTTTTCTGAGGGGGGCAGGTGTTTAGCCAGTAAGTACTCAATTAGTGGCACCTGCTGCTAATGTTTCAGATCCAGGTGTTCCTTGCTAGGACCCAAACACAGCTGATAGAGATCAACTTCAGGTGTTGTTGGGTTTTCTTTGTGAAAGGGTGGAAAAGTATCCAAATAAGGACATGTCTTACAACAAGGAGAGAGTCCTTTTTTCAGGGTAGACAGGAAAGAAGAAAATATTTTCTTCCCTCAGAATTTTTTCATACAAGTCCTGTACAAAATCACATTTATACACTGCCACAACATAGTGTCTTTTTTTCCAACTTGGTTACACTGCAACCAGCTCTGCTGGTGGCTGTGGGCAGGAGACTTCAGCTGGAGGACCTAGATGAGAAAGGCTCCCTGGGGTCTGTGACCACAGCTTGCAATCCTTAACAAAATAGCCCAAATTCTGGTCTGCAGAAACACTTGCATCACTCCATGCACAGTGATGCTCAACACTTTACTACTGGCACCAGCAGCCCCATGTGACTAACACGGAACATTTTTGAGATTCCCAGTTTAGACCACTGTCCCCTGGATATGATAAGTATGTGAGATATGAAATGTTAATGGTAGTGAGCTTTTTTTTTAATGGATTTTGCACGTTTCAGTGAATAAACCTGTTGATAAAAGTCTGTGCTGAAGTATGAAGCATACACTCAGTACAGCCTCAAATGTGAGCAGAGTGACGCCGAAAATGAGTTAAGATGTGTTAGTGACGTTGAGGTTTTGCCTTCATAATGGGTAGAGATTATCTGAAAGCTTTTCTTTTCCTGAGCTGTGCTTCCTGTTGGCATTTGTGTGAATGTGATGTGTGGCCATTCTTTAAAATATTACTTAATACTGTTTTCCAAAGACACATTTGCCTTTTGGTGGTTTGTCCTTTAACATCTACCAACTGGCTCTGCTGCACAGCCTGTCTCCTGTTCTGTGAAGGATGGATTCTCACCTGAGAAGATAATTTACAAGAAGGTGATTTGTTTTTGAAGAGAGGAAAGGCAGCTTATTCAGAAATGTCTATTTCTTTTTTATTCACCTTTGCTGAAATCTGGCAGCTCTTCAAAGCTGTTGCTCTGTTTCACAGTGAGTCTCAATTTCATTCATCAAATCTCAGCTTGCTTTCCATCACAGTGGCAGGGAAATTGGAATTTATCAGGAAATACAATGCAGACCCAGGATTTTCTCAATTTCCAGTATGTCTCCACTCCTAGTGAACGATAGCAGTTGCTCCCAGCTCTGTTACATCTGCAAATACAGGCTGCAGCAATCAGTTCACGTGGCTGTGAAACTGATTACAGCTTTGAAACTGCAAGACAAATTCCTACAATTTGTAATAAAATTACTGGTGAAAGAGGAAAAGGGGAGGCTAATATAATAACCTCCTTTTTTTAAAGTTTTTTTTTCCTTTGCTGCTGCAAAGTTCCAGATTTCAAAACCCATCATTTGACCTGTGGCTTTTATCATGAAGAGGTGAAAATGCCACAACACCTCGGTACAGCCTGGAGAACAATCATCACTGGGCAGATTCCAATGCAGTGGCACCACTGATGCATGTTTAATGCCATGCAGTGGGAACAGTCACAGACAAGGGCAATTCAGTAGGCCCTGAGCTGATTCAGAAGATCCCAGCTCTCTTCCCAGCAATAGGAGTGTCCTTTTACTTTCCACAGTGCCTTGGTTTCCCCACTGTGGAAATGGGATGATCATGCTGACCCTCACTTGTAAGTTCCTGCAAGACCTTCAA